GGAACCTACCAGGAATGGAACTTTTGTTTTAAGATAAATATAGCTGGGGCTGGGGACAAATTTCCTTCAGCTTCTTTTCCTGTGTAAATCTGTTTTGAGAATGTGGCTTTCTTAAAAAGTAGATGTGTAAGATGACCCCAAATGCCAGGAAATGGGTGGGAGGAGGAATAGACGTGGCGTGTGTCTCTGCACACCAAGAAGGAGGTTCTTTACTGACTGCGCTGCCCGCCCTTTGGAGCAAGGCATGACCAAGGGAGGGTGCCCGCTCACAAAAGCAGATTACGTGAGGGCTAGTTTACATCATCTGTTTAAGATTAGGAGTGGCTGCAATAGCGCCCGGGCATTCTGGTGCCAGGCTGATAATACATCTAAATTGGACCATTCACCCTCAAAGTGAAAAGATGCCACAACAACAGTGGACAAATTAGAGCATTCGTTCTTGATGTTCAAGGTGACAAACTTAACTAATCACCCACAGCAGAGAAAAGCTCAGGTGGGCACAACTCAGCCAATCATACGGTGATTCCTTAGAGGGGCTCAGAGCCGGTTCTTGTCAAGGAGCCTCGAGGAAGGTGCTTCCTGGGGGTGCTGTCTGCAAGGTCAGGAAGTCTGGGTGCCATCTGACTGCCTCTCTCCTTTTCTCCAGGAGAAAAGCAGGGGTTGCTGAATGCCAGAGTGGCTGAAGTTGCTCTGGCACAAGTGGGTTGGGAGGGGGCACCACCGGGGACAGCTGCCTCTGTGCAAAGGGTAACCAGCTACCCAGCCCACTGGCTGTTCCCCATTTTGTAGGCCATTGAGTTCTCCCTCCTATTTTCTTCTCCATAAAATGGGCCTCATTAAGTTTTTAAAGAGGATTTTCCTGGTTGCATTTGCCCTAAAGTCCTTTACCTCACATGGAAAGTTTATTAACCATGGCTAAAGCTTACTTTTGTGAAACATTAGAAAAAAAAAAATCATGTAAAGGACTACATGACTACAGCCCACCTCTGCTGTGCTTAGAATCAGGGGTGAATGGAGATTCACCTCTCTCTGCAGAATGCAGATCTGCTGGGGTGGGGGCGGGGGTGTCTAGATAGCAGGTGTGGGAACGCACCAAACATTTCCACGGTTTACTCAGTTAACCTCAAAGCAGATCTTACACTCACGTTACGGCTTGCTAACCGCAATAATGGGACCACAGTTGCAGGGACATTTCCACAGAGATTTATTTTAAATCATGGAGGCAACTTTGCATTGAGTCTCTTACGTTGGTAATGGCTACAGGTACATTTCAGTTAAGAGGAAAGCACAGTGGGAAAGTGAGCAGAGTTTAAGAACATTCACAACATTCAGCAGCATTTGAATGTAGAACTGGATACAGACATTTTAATGTAGGAAACTCTTGCTCAATCCCACCTAATAATCACATTCAGGAAGTCAATTTCAGACTGTTTGGTCTGGTTAGTGGACTCTAGTGGCAGAGAGCATGGCCAAGTCCAGAAGATCAGCTAGAATCACATTTGAGAAATCTATTCCAACTTCTGGCTTTGTACATTCTCAGTCTGACTCTGGGAGAATCTTCTCATTTCAAAAGAAGGAAAAAAGATCTCCCTAAGCCAATGCCCATTGTAGTCAGGTTCTGATGAGATTGCAGGCTGACGGGTGAGCGGAATGGAGTCCATGGCCCTGGTTATGACTAAGTGGTAGGCAGGCACGAACATGGGGCTAGCACCTTCCCCGTTGTCCAGCTAATGGCAGCGTTCATACTTTTCATATATATATATATATACATGTATATATATGAAAAGTGTATATATATATATATATATACACTTTTCATACACACACACATATGTGTATTTTTTGCAAGATGACAGTAGACTGAAAGTCACTTAAAAAGCAAGGCAAGTGGTATAAAATACCATATATTAGAGTACAGTGGTTAGCAGCAACACAAATATGTGGGTCCATGCTTCCTACTGACCTAAGGAGTGTCCATTTAAAAGGAAAACAAACAAACAAAAAAGATCACGTAGATATAAATGAAATACTTAAAAAAAATCTTTCCCTTTTTGTTACAGTTCACCCTTTCATGCTTCCCCAGGAACAACAAAAAGTAAGAATCATAAATAAGCAAGGAGAGATTACAGATCTAACCTTTAACTCAAGCTGCCATTCCTGGACATCTTTTTGTACCATAAAGTCAGGTACACTTTTTGACTCACAGAGGTGAATATTTTGAGGTATCTATTTTTCATGAGATAGTACCATGACTAACTTCCATCTTCACCACCTTTTTTTAAACCTACCTGGCTCTAGATGGAAAAATGCAGGAAGCAATTTACTTGCTGTGACAGAAGACAAAAGCAGTGAGATGCTCTCCTATTTACCCGGGTCAGCCATGTGTACACTGTTCTCTGATAATGGTTCAGGCTGATCCCATATAGACAATATTCATGAAAACACAGGTTTGAGGGACTGGAAGGCAACTGAAGAAGAATGATCACTGAATTCAACTTTTACTCAGGATTTAATCTCTTTTTCACATCTCTAAAGGGGCTGCTATCTCCAATCTCTTCAAAAATTTCCCTGTATATGAGATACAAAAGTAGAATTCCATTACAATTTTGCAAAAATGTTTGGACTCTGCCCTTGTGTGTGAGGCCTAAATAGACCTCTTGGTGGAAATGATAATGTTTGAAGGCAAAATTACAAACTAAAAACCCCAATGGTTGGTAAGTATATAGTTCTTGGTTCTAAAGTTGAACTGAAGCCACAAAGCGAAGAATATTCCCGAATTAAGTTATGGATGTGGTATACTTGGGTACTGAGAGAAAAGGCAAATGGGCATCAAAACAAGACCTGGGGACACTGGACACCTGACACAAAACCATGTCTCTGAGAGGGAGACTTGAGCCCTTTTTACTCACGCTGAATTGAGGGAAATGTTTCTTCCCTCTGAGGGAGTGCCACTGTGAGGAGCTTGTAGTTGCCCCAGTGTGCTGAAACAGTCCATTACTTGAAGAATGATTTAAGGCAGAGAAGGAAATGGAGGGCAGCAGCTAATGCATCAATGGTCTTGTACTGTGTATTCTTTCGATGCTGCAGGTATCTCAAACAATCTCCATGTGCCACGTCACAAGGGCTTTCTGTATTCAAAGAGGAGCTGCTCCATCCCACCATGTAGTTATAGAATTAGTTCATATATTCTTCCAGGCCAATGTGGAATGATTTGCAGCAGCAGCACCTACAGTGAGGGGTTGTTCATCCAGAAAGATGCAAACACCTTCTTTACTGTGGGGCTTGCTCTGGAAAGGGGTAGGTCCTGTCCCTCAGGGCCTAGTTCCGACTCTAGGGTATGGCAAGCTTTCAACAAGCAGCTGGTTGAACCACACTGGAATTTCAAGAACCATCTAGATTACTCAGTGTTCAAATGGACTTATTTCTGCATTTTCCAATCACATTACTAGGTATTAATTTTTCTGTCAGGAAAAACTTAATATTATTTTAAAGGACAGAAAAAAGGATTTTTTTTGTTGCCAGATGCTTTCACTTCAAAGTATAAGTCTTAATGAAGAAAGTCATTTATAGACATTTGAATTACTTTATGAAAACTGAACACCAAGGGTGTCTCAATTAATGAATATACTCAGGAAGTGAAACATAGTATAGAGCTCTTCCTTTGCTTCAAAGTCCAAACACAGGCTTTAAAGATTAATGTTAAGCAAAAATAAATTATACTTTAAAATGATGTAATCTCAAAATACAAAAAAGTGAGGTTCTACCCTAAGAGCAAAATGATGTGGACTCCCTAGGGGCAGTCTTCAGCTAGGGGAAGGAAATCTGTTGCCCCTTGATTTCCACTTAAATTCTGCAATGGGGGTGGTCCATGAGGAAGAGTATAGGGAGTAGTTTATGCTGAGGAAGAAATGTAATAAATCTCACTGCATGGTACCCACCCACTCATTACACAGGGTTGAGGCCTAAGGAAGTGTCAGATTTGCTGACGAGCAGTGGAACAAACCTGGTTCTTGAGAACTCCCTGTCTCAAGGCACTGGAAGTCACTCCTCCCACTCAAGCTATTACCAGTAATGTTCAAAACAACCAATGTTCAAAAACAACTATTCATTGACATTCTTCTTTGAGATTCTCTTGTTTACACTACAGCTGTAACTAACTGCTTGGTAGAACTAAAGTGTTCTGTGTGTTTAGAACATTTTAGATCTCTCAAGAGCCTTTCCAGTTTTGTGATTTTATGATTCTTTGAGTAAGACAAACCAAATGAGAAATGCATCATATGGGCTGACCTTATACAAAAAGACACACAATCCCAAGTATTTAATCTAAAATCTCATTGCCACTGTGAAGACATATCTAGGCAGTTAAAGTTTCAGTAAACATTTCTTTGGAGAAACTGAGAGCACATGATTAGTTTTATCCCACCAAACAAACAGCAGCTCTTTGCGTGGCAGGTACAAAAGTTTTGCCACTTTCTCAGCACAGCCATGTTAGGCATAGATTTTGTAGGATGAAGCAGAAATATATGTAAAGTGCAAGTCTAGTAGGGTAAAACCAGAACTATGACACTGACCCCAGGCAAGAAAAAATCCAAGCGCTGGTGCAAGCTTCCTTTCCTAAAGAACGAAGCCTTTATCCTATAAAATTCTTAGCAGACACCCAACACCAGCACACAGCTCCCCATGAGTTCCAGACACTCGGTGTTAAACGAAGAATTCACTGCATTCCAGACCACAGTTGGCTTGCTAAGCACTTCTTAACAAATTGAAGCATTCACACATGAGAAGGAAAGCGCAGAGTAATGGATTCCTTGACATATCTGTGGTTTAGATCTTGACTCATTAAAGAGTTGTCAAGTGGATGCAACACCTGAGGCTCTGTGGGCTGGGGACAGCCATGCCTGGAGGGACCTGGCTAGAATGAAGGGCAGGGTCAAAGGTCACAGTGACCCCAGTATGTTGTTCATGTGATCCAACAGGGACAATAAAATTCCCAAATGGGATCTGACTATAGTCCTAGCTCAGGATTCAAGCCAGGCTAGCAGGGTGCCTGACCTACCTTCTCTCTAACACTGTGTGTCCTTCTCTGTACAAGCTGAGGTCCAAAGTTCAGGAATAGAAAACAGTTTCATTTCTATCGTTCACTGCTAACACGTAGTTCTCTACTATGTATAATTTAGAAAGTGGCTGCAGGTTTTAGTAATAAACTACAAACCAGATACTTGAACATTCTAAATATAATTCATTTCTGAAAGTCTCTCAGGGCAATCACATGGCAAAGAGTCAGATCAGTTACACAGCTTTGACTGAACGCAAGCAAGGGTTGTGGGGAAGGGAGTGAAGTGACAGGGGGTTGCTGCTTAGATTATGGTCACGTGACCCTGTGGGCCGCAGGCCCAGCTGACGCGATCCCATCTCATGGTTGCTGCACGGGGCACAATAGTATGTGGGTTGTTTCCCAATCCTGCAGCAGCAGAATTATCTCTAGGAAGCCCAAGGGCACACTGGTCTCTATCAGGGGTGGAGCCCAAGTATGCCTGGTAGTATGTCTCCCAGTTAAAAAGTTATGAAAGTCAGGAAGGAATAAATTGCTTTCTAGGAAAAAAAAATCCCAGAATTTTGAACACTATCACCAAATCTTGAAATCACAAGTGAACATGGTACTATGGAGACAGAGCTTCGATAGGGAAGGACAAGTAACTGGCCTGCTTACCTGCAATGTTTTATTTAATCTTATGGGCCACAAGAGACTAGTGATGTCTTGCTGTTCTGACAGGTGAGGACCAAATGAGGTATGTGGAGCATGCTTGGAATGGGTACACTTGCCACTGACTTGAATTCTACTTTTAAAGGTGAAAGTAAGATTTTTAAAAATGACTCCAATATCCCAAGTTGAGTCAGTAGTACCCATATGAATACTTCACAACTTGGGCTGGATTCCCTTAAAATGAGTTCTTCAACTTCATTTTCTAAAGCCCTTTTTCATATTCCCCAAAGCACAAAGCCCAGGCTTCCGGGTTCAGGCTTCCTGCTTGAGATCACAGAGCTGTAGTATGAAAGTATGCAAAGTCTCCCAGTAAAATACATTAGATAAAATAGCTAGTTTTTAAAGAGAAGAAAAAATACTTGGTAAGGAACAGAGCAGGACACAATCTTAATAAGTTAATTTCAAGCTCAGAGGTGATGCCATATGGAAAAACACAGAAGACACTCTGAAGGACGGAGATTTTGGTTTGGTTTGGTTTGTTCTTAATATTGTAAGTGAGGGAAAGCTGTGTCAATGAAACTAAAACAAGGGCTCAGAAAACTCCAACCGAATTAGAAATGATCCAGGCACTGAGGGTCGAAGCTCTGAGTCACGCTGTCTACCTCTGTGGGGACAGTGGTTGCGAGCAGCTTCCTCATAACACTTTCTTTCATGTGTGAAAGAATGGAGCAGTGACAGATGCACAAGGTCATCGCTACTCAAAAAGCACATGGATGGGTCAGACATTGTAAGCAGAACATTCTGCAGGCGTTTCAAGAAGTCAGTTGGTAAATCCACAGTTTGCCAAATCTCTCAAGTGAAGAGGATTTCTAAGAAACAGAAACACTGAGAACAAACAGTGTAAAAAACATACATTCTGGTGAATAGTGGATGAGGGTGAGGGCAGATACAGAGAGAAGATGCTGACCATGTGATCCCATGTGAAGAAAACATGGAAACCACTTTATAATGACCTCAAAGCCCCCAACAGATACTTGCTTCATTTCTGACACACAAAGCAACAACTAAAAAGAAGTACTGAAAATATAAAAATTAATACCTCACCCAGAATGTCCAGTATACTAAAAACAATGTAGCACAGCCAGACTGTATAAACCATTTGTTAAAAAAATATCTTCTTTTATATTGTATGAACAGTTGTAAGAGTCTCTGCATTAAGTGCTCATTGACTGCTCGCCACGGTGTGTGTAGGTAATATGCAAACTCAGGGAGGTTCTTCTCTCTTCTTGCATGTCTGCTTTTCAGTTCCAGCAATGGTTTGGATTAGAACAATAGATTCTTGAGTAAATACTATCTTTCTAATGTCTGGGAGGGCCATCAAGACACTACCGGGGTCATGTCCCACAACTGTCAAAAGAAAACAAAGAATACAATGAACCAAAATTGAATGTTGTTGAGGATAAACAATCCTTTTAACTGAATTCAAGGCAAACTTTCAGAAAATAACTAACTGCTATACTAACATTAGTTCTAAATCTATAAAAAAGTGTTTTTTGATTAAAAGGTCAAGTATAAACTTGAAAAACATGATAATGATAATTGGACTTTTTAATTCAGCAAGTGGAAAATAAAGGCAAGTTAGATATTTAAGGAAGGAACATACTAGACATGAGAGGAGCACCAGGGGACTGCCAGGCCCTTTCCATATCTTATCTTAGGTAATCTTCTGTACAACCCCCTAAGATGCCTCACTTTCAAAAATAAAGTGACAAAGGCTCCAAAAGTTTACTTTAAATTTGCTCATAGCTAGTAAGGTATAGCAGCTTCCAAAGGGAGTTATTTTAACTACCTCAACCTATTGCTGATCCCAAGAGTGGACCAGAAGGGATTCTGGAAGTACGGCTCAGGGTACAGCTGAGCCAGTGCCTCTGTGTTGGCCAGGGAGTGAAGCAGGTGTGGCCCTTCTGCCCTGGGTCACCATATATGTTGTCAGCACTGTCCTTGGAGAACCCCTGGAGGAATGCTTCTAGATTAACTGATCTCACAGGGAAAATATCTTGTTTATTACCTGTTGGCTTATTCAAGTCTTACCATTCATTCAACTCAAATCTCACCTCCCCACAAGCCGTCTTTAGCAACACCACCTCCTTCTACTGAACCCTTAAAAGTTATTCTGGGGCCCTCCTTGCTAGCGCAGCGGGTTAAAACACAGTACTAAGAAGCTAAAGCCACTTCAGCATGAGTTTGATCCCCGCCTGCCCTGGAGGTGATCCTTAAGGCATGGCAGACCTCTCCTGACCCGCCCGCTGCTTCCCTCAGCAGTGTACTCAGTCAGTCAGCCTGTTCTACTCGCCACTCTGTCTCTGGTGAATCCTCTTAATGCTCCTGCACCTCTGGCCTGTACCCCAGTTCTGTATGCATAAATAAATAAATTTTTTTTAAAGATTTATTTATTTGTGCATACAGAACTGGGGTACAGGCCAGAGACTCAGGGGTGGCGAAAGACTTCACCAGAGACAGAGTGGAGAGCAGAACAGGCAGATCGACGAAGTACACTGCTGAGGGCAGCAGCGGGCTGGTCGGGAGAGGTCTGCCACGCCATGTGGTCACCTCCGGGGCAGGTGGGAATCGAACTCATGCGGAAGTGGTTTCAGCTTCTTACTGCGGTGCTTTAACCCGCTGCACCACCAGGGAGGGCCAATAAATAAATTTTAAAAAAGAAAGTAATTCTGGTCTGTATAGTACATGTGACCTATCACTAACTGTCATTTTAAGTGTGTGTTCTCAGTAGATTAGCCTTTGCTTGCAGGCTGGTGTGGTTGTCTTATTTTGTTGTGGGCAGTCAGGTCTTAGCACTGGGCCTTGCCTATAATACATTCTCAAAAATGCTCACTGCCAAGGATAACATTTTGAGTAGATGTCACATAATCTTGGTGCTCCTATATATTCACAGGGCCAAAAATAGAAAGCTTCTAAAATAAGATGATGTTCTACAGCAAACTAAAATGCTTCTGCATAGCAAAGGAAACTACATACAAAATATAAGACAACTTACAGAATGGGAGACAGTATTTGCAAGTCATATAATCTGATGAGGAATTAATATCAAGACAGCTAAAGAACTGATACAACTCAGTAATGAAAAACAAAAGCAAACATGAAAAACCAAGTAATCTGATTAAAAACTGGGAGAAGGTTACAACTGAGATGGGAAAAGGTACAAAATAAATTATTATATTATTAAAAAAAAAAAACTGGGCTAAGGACCTGAATAGACATTTTTCTAGTGAAGACATACAGATGAACAATAGGTGTATAGATAGTTTCTTAACATCACTAACCACTAGGGAAATGCAAATTAAAATAAAAATGGGCTACTACCTATTAGAATACCGACTATCAGAAAGATAGGCGATAAGCACTAGTGAGGTGTGGAGAAAAAGGAACCCTTGTATCCTGTTGGTGGGATGTAAATTGATGCTGTCACTATGGAATACAGTAGGAAGGTCTTCCAAAAAGTTAAAAATAAAACTATTGAACTAGAACCACATGACCTAGCAATTCCACTTGGGGGTTATTTATTTGAAGGAAATGAAAATTCTGAATCCAAATTGCACCTATGTTTACTGCAGCTAAAACATGGAAGCAACCTAAGTGTCCACTGATAGATGAATGGCTAAAGAAAACGTGGTATATCTGAACCAGGGAACATTATTCATTCAGCCATAAAAAGGAAAACTTTGCCACTTGTGAAAATAGGAGTGTCTTTGAGGACATGCTCAGTGAGGTGAGTGAAACAGAGAAAGGCCATTACTGAATGATCTCACTCACACGTGGTACATGAAAACAAAACAAAACAAAACACCCACGCTCATAGAGGCAGAGTAGATGGTGTTTGTGGAATAGATGAAATAGGTGAAGGGAATCGAAATGGAGAGCACAGTAACTATCAGCAATACTGTATCAACATATTTGAAAGCTGCTAAGAGATGGTAGATCTTAAAAGTCATCATTAGAAAGAAAAATGGGTTTGGTGATAGATAGTAACTTGAATTACTGTGATCATTTCACAATATGTACAAAAATACTGAATTATTGTTATATATCTGAAACGAATGCTATGTCAATTACATTATAGTTCAATAAAAAAAAAAAGTATTGCTGATAATCAACTAAAAACAAGGGCCATCCTACCTTAATAACCTTGTCAGTCCCAGCAGTCAGTAACCACCCTCTGGTCGCATCGAAATGCACATGCACGATGTTGTGCTTGCTGTCATGGAAGGTCGCTGTGGGTGCGCGTCTGCAAGGAGCGAAGAAGGTTTTGGAGAGTAAAGGGAGGTGGCATGTGAATGCCGGCCATCAGGGGTGACATTTACTGCTTGTGTTTAGCCAAACGGCTAAAATTGCTTCACTGTTAATACTGCCCCTCAGCAAAAAACTTTATTCCCTGGGGACTTATTATTAAAACAAAACAACAACAAAAGGCAAAGGAATTCTTCTTTATCTAATGGGAAAGAGGTAATGATGTTCCTACGAATTCTTCTGGAGAACTTGTTGCTCTGATAGAATCTGTGCTTTTGACAAATTAAAAAAAAAAACTGTATATTGTTGCTAAGTTTGATCACAGAAAGAATTGCTAGCAACAATCTTTGCCATTTTATTAAAAAAAAAAAAAAAATCACACTTGGGCCCTCCCTGGTGGCGCAGCGGGTTAAAGCACAGCACAAAGAAGCTTAAGCCACTTCTGCATGAGTTCGATCCCTGCCTGCCACGGAGGTGACCACATGGCGGGGCAGACCTCTCCTGACCCGCCCGCTGCTCCCCTCAGCTGTGTACTTTGTCAATCTGCCTGTTCTGCTCCCCGCTCTGTCTCTGGTGAATCCTCTCACCCTCCACATCTCTGGCCTGTACCCTAGTTCTGTACGAATAAATAAAACAATCTTTAAAAAAAAAATCACACTTGTTAAAAATGCCTAAGATTTTACTATTATTTGCTAGAAGGGCCACGGAGGGTTTCCCCTTATGCCTGGTTAACTGCAGACTAGTTTTCTGTAGTATTCTGATGGTTTAACAAGTGGAACAATATATAATTAAGCACTGCCATACACGTTATTTGTTTTGTGTTTTTTAATCTCCACATGATTTCAGTAAGGAGGGTAGATAATCTGGAGGCAATGCCAATGCTTTCAGGGAGAAGGGGCATGGGTCGCGGGGAGGCCCAGCTGCTCCCCCCCACCCTCCCCGGTCCCCACTCCTCTGCAGTGCTCCCTGAAGATGGCCATTTTCTTCTTTACTATAGATCACTTGTAGGGCAAATTTCCAGCCTACTAAAGTGCACTTACAATGTTTAGAATCAGAGATTTAGGCTTAATTTGCAGCTGCTTATACTTTCTAGGTCTGTGTCTTTTTAAAATGAAGAATGAAACCAGACTATTCTTGCAGCTTTTCGCAGCTCTCTAATTTCATGAGCAGTCACAGCTTCCATGGTGTATGAGTGGGAAACAGCCCATGAACATTAAAAGCTTCCTTATACAAGGGCATTTTAATTTATATTTGATGTGGCTAAATAAGAACACAAAGTGCAAGTTAGGGTCATTTATACTGTATGAGAGTGCTTTATTTATTAATTTACTAAGCATTTAAGACACCTATCTCATACTTAAATGATTCTCCTTTACATGAGGTGCTGGGGAGAGAGGGGGGTGAAAATTAGGCACACAAGTTTCCTATGAGCCTAGTCTACAATTCACTAAGAGCATTCCGTTTACATCTGGGGCTGCTTGCGAACTGCTGATACAGATCTATGCCATCCTGCAAAGCATATACTGGGACAGTATGTGAGGTCCTAGTTACTGGATTAGACAAGCTAGATGGAGCAGCATTTGCCTCTTAGGCTTAGCTTTTGCTGGAAAAGGAAAACCTCCTGGAGCCTGCAGGCTGATTCGGCCCCTGTAAAGATAGCAGCTTGGGCCAGAAAGAGAACTTTGGGTTCCATATGCCAACTATGCCAACTATCAACGAAATAAGGAGACAGAGGTTTTGCAGAACATCTACTTTCAATGCATGTAGCACTGGGACCTGGCACAGAGATAAGGCTTTGCACAGCCCCTTTCTTCTCACAAGATGACACAGACTTGCTGATGGGAAGGAAGGTTCTGCTCAATGGACTCTAAACCCGTGGTAACTGGGGCCCTGCTGGTTATGGGGGCAGCGCTGGCTGCAGCTCTCGCCTTAACCCTGGTGATCCTGCAGACAGCTGAACTTACTCTTCATCTGTGATGGCCTCGTGGCAGCTGTCACAGACTCTGACTTCAAACTCGAAGCCCATCAGAGGGATGGAGGAGCGCTTGGAGCTGCACTTGCCGCAGACCGCCTTCCCGCACTTGCGGCAGTGGTGCTGCAGGGAGAGAAAGGAGACTGCTGCAGCACCCCCACGCCCCCTCTCTGGGGGGCCGGGAGCAAGCAACAGCATTCAGATAAGGATGCTAAACTAGACTGTTCCAGAAAACTGAAGGAACACACCAGGTGTGCCCTCTTTCTGCACTATTTACACAGCTTGAGGACTGTTGGGAAGCATCTGACTGGGTCACTTCCCCTTCCCCTACTCTTGGTCCTTTCTAATTCAGTCTAGAGCAAGCACCCAGCACTTGGGTTAAAGCTAGGTACACTGAGAAAGTGCCAGCTCCAGAGCTTATGCTGCTGGGTGAAGGAGAATGTGATGAAGCCTGCTTCAATCCATGGTCTATACTCTGACCGTGTTCAAGCTAAGTCACTGTGATTTGACTTCCAGGGGGACAACCAGAGCCAACGATGGAATTAGATTAAAAATGCTGTATGAATAGGGGCCTCCCTGGTGGAGCACTGGGTTAAGTCTCAGTGCTATTGAGTTAACACCAGCCACTGCAGCTTGAGTTCGATCCCCAGCCCGGGAGCTGACCCACATGGCACAGCCTGTCTCACATGCCGCTCCCTGCTCCTCTCAGCAGTGTGTTTCAGTAGATCTGCCTGTTCTGCTTTCCACTCTGTCTCTTGTGAATCTTCTCACCCCCCACATCTCTGGCCTATACCCCAACTTTAAAAAAAAAGCAGATCTAACTAAACTAAGACGGGAGGAAGTGAAATTATTAAAGAAGGAATAAATTCACCAGTGCTTTCAGGGTAACTTACTCCAATTGGAACTGCTATGCAGGGGTGCTATGTCTTCTAAGATCACACAGAAAGTTTTTCCTACACTATTACATTTTGATGAAGCATCCATTTGACCTACCTGTCTCAGACCAATTTTTTTACTGTCCCACATTTGCTTGAAGTTCCAGAAAAAAGGCTGATCACACTTTTGGCAGGAATCACTGTCTAACCACTCAGGAGTCTTGTCAAACAAAACATATAACAGGTCACAGTGAGAAGCAGTGAGGACAATGGAACCACTGACATTGATAAAACAGAAATCAGAATGTGATTATTAAGTAACAGAAGTGTGATTTAACCACCATTTAAAAAACACTTGCGGGCCTTCCCTGGTGGTGCAGTGGCACAGCACTAAGAGGCTAAGGCCACTTCAGCATGAGTTCGATCCCCCCCCCAACCCCCGGAGGTGACCACATGGCACGGCAGACCTCTCCTGACCTGCCCACTGCTCCCCTCAGCAGTGTACTTCATCAGTCTGCCTGTTCTGCTCCCCACTCTGTCTCTGGTGAATCCTCTCACCCTCCCCATCTCTGGCCTGTACCCCAGTTCTGTATGCATAAATAAGTCTTAAACAAAAATAAACCACTTGCTGGGCAAGATGAAGCAGAAAGAACATGGGGGCAGGTACAACACCACAGCATCTAGAGACTGTACTCGGAAAAAAACAAAAACATAAACAGAGGGCTGGAAGACCCACATTTTCACAAGAAAGCGAGATAGAAAATATCAGAGAGGGTAGGAAAAGTTGAAAAAATCCTTCCTGGAACACCACTCAGGCACTTTGACCCAAGAGAGGGGGGAAGGCTGAAATATGGGGTCTCTTTCCAAGGACCACAGGGCTTACTCTCAAGCGGGGGAACCAAGATCCTGGGAAGTGCATTTGAGAGAGGAATTCACACAGCCAGGTGTGGAAAACAGAGGGTCTTTCTTTAGGGAGCACCAGAACTCTGGAGAGCAGAGATTTAGGGCAAAGTGCTAGGGGAGCAGAAAGAGAAAACATATACAGATTTAATGGGGTGGTGGTCGTGGAGGGGTGGTAGCTGTATTTGGTAAACCGGTGGGGGAAAAACAGGGAGGGATTGTTTTCCGGTGAAAACAGATGACTTCCCTGGGCTCTCCCCTGGCGGAGTACAGCCAGCAAGGGCAAAGGCCACATGCTGTTCACTGCCATCCCCACAGATGAAAAGAGAATTTTGGAGCCCTTGGAAGGATTTTACAGGTACTTCATGCTGAATCAGTGGACAAACCAGTAGACAGGGAAATAGCAACTGAGTCTCCTAGCCACAGAGTGACACTGCAGCACGTGCCAATGCCGAGGAGCCCTTCACCCCGCTCTTCTGGGCACAGAGTCCGTGTTTACAGGCGCGCATGCGCCCACCACCAAGGAGGCGTGCATGGCCACGGGTGCTGGCCAGAGCCAATGCCAGAAGGTCGGAAAAAAGCCTGACTTGATTTCACTCCATTTTCCCTACACCATTCCAGTAGAAGCCAACCTGAGAGGAGGGTTATAGGGTGAAGCGTCTCACACAGTCACCAGCGATGCCGGAGGCCACTGGACAGCCCCAGACCAAGAGACAGCACTGATTCCCAGAAGGGACCGGCAGTTTGAATCTCCAAGCTCCTGGTGCAGGCACCTGGTGTCTGAATCTTTGGGGGACTCCCTATTGGTGGAATTTGTGGGGCGCACAAGGCTGCCCGCCCACCTGTGGCTCCCTATAGAGGGCTCACAGGAGAGGTTCTCTTTATGGTTGGCTTCAAAGTTCAGTGAAACACCTGCCCCACCAGTGCTTGGGCCTTTGCTAGTATTACCTTCACCTCCAGTGCTTGCTGCCTTCCAATTCAGTTAACGGCGCCACCCACACTTGGAGTTTGTGCCTCTGGGGGAAAGTTCTGCTTGTGGAAGCTGCTTGAACAGCCCCCTGTGCTCCCTCCCAGGTGGCAGCACCTTCCAGGATTGAGAGAGGTCTGCAAGGGAGGCCATTTTCTAGCACTGGTATGCACAGTCCTTGGAAAATGTCTGCCTGTCACCCTCCTGTCACCACTATTAGGAACGGTAGCCTGTCTGCAATCCAATCCTGTACCTCCCAGAATGCTCTGCTCCTGCACAGGCCTCTGGGGAAAATTAGGTTTGCAGAATCTTGTGATCAGAGTTTGGCTGAGGTGAGGTGAGTAGGGGAGGTGTCAATGTTCATCTGAGGCTGCAAGGAAAGCTCTAAAGAAGGAACTAAGGAGAGGGAAGTTGCAGATTTCCTCTTAGGGACCCAGAGCCCCTAGGGAGGCTTGAGCTCTTGGTATTCTTTAGCTGCATACCAGTTTTCCATGTTGTGCCCTGTGCAGAAGCTTCATTTTATAAAGCAACAGGCAGCTCAGTATCTCTGGCCTACAACCTGGAATCTTGATACAAGGCCACCACATCAAGATAAGAAAAAACACTGTTTAGCTTCACCCACAGAAATGGACAGACTATGAAGTAAAATCAAGAAACAGAGAAATGCATCCCAAATGATGGCACAAAGCAAAACCAGTGCGGAAAATATCTTAATACAATAGTAGTAGGTGATCTACTTGAAGAGTCAGAGTAACAGCCCTGAGGACGCTCACTGACACGAGACCTGGGATACTGTGTATATATACACTGACAGTGTAAGTACACATTTAACCTACAGGCTGTCAGCTTCTCTTCTCAGACTGCTCCTACAGTCCAGTGCTAATGCTGAGTATCACCTCTCCTGTTCACCTGGTCCTCATTTTTTGTTTCTTGTCCTGGTCAGAGCACGTCTGGCCCTCCCATTTCTCAGCACTATGTTCTACAAAGCTTTTGCCGAGGACAGCAGCCAACACTGACAATACCCCTTCCAAAATATCCAGTACTAATACTCTGTTACATGGGCTGTAACTGAATCACTTATACCATTTAATGCTTTTTGAGGTTTTTCTCCTTTACCAGAAAACTTGCCAGCCTACAGAGCAGGGACTGAATCCTTACCTGTGTCAGACCTCTGGAGGTAAGCACTGCACAGCACTTGATATATTCAGGAAGCAGCTCCCACACCCACCTCAGGGGATTATGGGGTAAGGTATTATATTATGAGCACTGCTCATTTAGAGCTAGGAATCACTCAAGATTCCAGTCAGCAGGTACTGAGTGTCAATATACTTGTGTATCAAAGCACAATGGCCCAAAGGACTGCTTAAGCAACCTCCTGGCATTGTATCTGAAAATCACGTCTTTATTCTCCTTTGGGCTTTTGCCCATCCAGGGTGGAGGTTGTATACCGAGGGAAAAGGGCCACTGGTCCCTTCCTCCCTTATTCTGGTAGGTTAGGCTAGGACAAGGTCAGGCACCTATAGGTGTGGGTATGGCTGACCTGCACCTGCAACAGTCTGAGATGCAGAATTACCACTCACAGGGCAGGTGGGGGCGTGGCCTGCACATTGTACCAATTTCCCTGACTTTACACAGATGGGGCCACCTGGCACTTTCAAAGCAATATGCTACAGTTCCCTACTTCCTAACAGTAATATAATTTTAATTAATTACTAATAGAGCTCCCATGGATCTATGATTTGAGCAAATCAAGCTTTAATCTTTTTTTTTTTTAAAGATTTATTTATTTATGCATACAGAACTGGAGTACAGGCCAGAGGCTCAGGGGTGGTGAGAGGATTCACCAGAGGCAGAGTAGGGAGCAGAACAGGCCGACTGAGAAGTATACTGCTGAGGGGAGCAGCGGGCAGGTCAGGAGAGGTCTGCTGTGCCATGTGGGTCACCTCCAGGGCAGGCAGGGATCAAACTCATGCTGAAGTGGCTTTAGCCTCTTAGTGCTGTGCTTTAACCTGTTGCGCCACCAGGGAGGGCCCGCTTTAATCTTCTTAAGCATTAAATTACTGGTTTTTTTGAAAGGCATTGTGGGTAACAGCAACTACTCTCTTGAAAGGAAATTGGGGTGAGAGCATGGAAAGAAATTGGGAAATCGTTTTTGTCTTTTTAAAATGTTGCTTTTATAGTTCTGGCATCCTGCGAAGAAATTCATGAGAAGAATATATACTGTTGAAGGGAAAGTTTACCTACCATCATACTAGGAAAATGATTAACTTCAGGGGATATTCAGTAAACACATGAATTATTAGAATTTTCAAATAGGGGCCCTCCCTGTTGGCACAGCGGGTGAACACAGCACTAAGAAGCTAAAGCCACTTCAGCATCAGTTCGATCCCTGGCCCTGGAGGTGACCCACATGGTGCGACAGACCTCTTCTGACCCGCCCAATGCTCTCCCAGCAGTGTACTTCGTCAGTTGGCCTGTTCTGCTCCCCATTCTGTCTCTGGTGAATCCTCTTACTGCCCCTGTACCTCTGGCTTGTACCCCAGTTCTGTATGCATAAATACATCTTTTAAAAGAACTTCTTTTTCAAACATGAAAAAAGAAAATCATAAGAAAAAGAATGCTATGATAAAACTAAATATGTGCTTAAAAATGACTATATATTTCTGGAGAACTGTTTAGACTATGACTCAAAGACAAAAATTATGATTTCTAATATTTTTATTAATACTAAAGAGTTTTACTTCTATCAAATATCACTCTTGACACACAAGCCACCATTTTCCTCAATAACATAAAACACGAGCTTTGTTTTTAATGGCATTTTATAGAAAAGGGCTCATCTCCTGAACATACACAGTTCCTTTTGCTCAGCTGAGCTTTTGCTCCAATGATACATTTAAAATCTTAGTCTCACTTGAATTCTTCTAGTATCTCCATTACTTGAATTTTACACACCAATCTGTGAGATATAAGAAAATTTGGAAGCTTCTTTTATTTTAGAAAGAATTTCTTTATTCTCTGACATGTCTTATTTCATGGTTTAATCGTAAAAGAAATAAGAAATGAGCATGAGGGCAGGCTCCGCAGAGCTGAGTCCAGGGGCCATAAGGAGCAGCTGTGTCACCTACCTCCTGCCTCTCCACGTCCATGTTCCAGACGACAATTCCACCGTCAACCCCACAGGAGATGAGCTGCCGCGTGTGCTGCGCATAAGAGAGAGCCTGGACTTTGTCACTGTGAAAGAAACCAAGGGTTGTGATAGCTCAGAAGAGCAAATGAAAGCACCACAGCAGGAAGCATCACAGACAATGAACACACGTGTCCCCAGCCCTCCCCCCCCCCCCCCCCAGCGCAGATCTTAGAAGCAGGATTGAAGTGTCTGCATGCTACCAATCAGAAGAGTAGCCCAGATTAAAAAAATTTTAAATGCTAATTGAGGCTTCAGAAGGAGGTAGTCTTTGTTAGTCACCAATTCTCAAGAGGTTAAGCTGGTTGTTGAACTTGCTGAACTGCTAACAGTTTATTGGCTCCTTCCTTAATCAAGTAAAGATTTTTGCCTTGTGTTTAAGTAGTAGTTATTCAAGATTCATGATTTTCCTTTAAAAGGATCTATTTTAAAGTTTTGTAGGTCAGCTTTGGAAGCTGATTTACCTGATTTACCTGACAGGAAAGCTGTCTCTGAGGTGGGAAACAGATTATAGCTGCTTAAGCCTACAGATGACATTTCTCAGCCGCCAGGGAGAATCCAAGACACAAGAGAGGTCCACGGACTCTCTATTTTTCTAATCTGCATTCTCTCTCTATGGATTTTGTGCTTTATTTTTTTTCTTGTTCATACATGGCTGACAATGATGGAGAATTCAGTTTTATGGTCAATACTTGAAGATTAGCAACAGATTACAGAGAACTTTTCTCCACTGGGTAAGAGAGAAGAGGAAATCTAGCTAGTTTCTTGGTTGTTTTCATCTGAATATTTTTCTACTTTTGGAGTTTAACTCAATTAAAAATTCTGTGCCCACTGGGAAGGAGATTTTGAAATCTGTACTGACTTTTTGTTGAAGATGTGTGTTCTTTTGACCTGTGACTGAAACTGTAGAACTAAAGTATTAAGCTCTGCACGTTTGTGCCCACAATTCAGAGACCATTACCGCATGTGTATTGAATGTTTTCAATTTCCACAGGGCATCCATAAACTAGATTATAAGATTAAGATTCTAAAACCTTTTAAGATTTTAATAAATTGCTTTGTTTGGCTTGTAAGCAAGTGATTATATAAACCAAGTATTCCTAAACTTCACAGAAAACAAGAAAATATTAAATTTACAAATATTTCACTAAAGTGTAAATTTATTTTTGAGTATGAAAGAGCAGAATAAAGGACAAATTTGGAAAAGGAATTTCATTTGCTTTGTCTGCAAAAATGCTATAAATTCTGGCATAATTCCATTTTTCTTTATTTATTGATTAGTGTCTTTGATGACAATGCAAAAGGATATTCTTTACCTTCTATGGAATTTGTTTCGTTAGCAGAGATCCTGTGTCTCACCAAGATTATTTCCAGAGCTTTATGTTGACTTAAAGTCTCTAAAATTCCTTTAACAATTCTTTTGGTTTTTGTCTTTCCAGACTGAACCTCATGTTTTGAAAAAATAAATAAAAATTTTTGGGTACTAAAGGTAAAATGTTAACATTTCTGAAACTATGTTGTATGGGAAGACGGTGTAGATTTGCCAATGCTCTCACTGTCTATAATAAATATTCTCAGGGCAAATAATAATCAAATCTCATAGGAAACAATGTGCAAAAGAACGCACATCTTCAACAAAACATTAGTACAGATTTCAATACATTTTACTCTTCTTTAGTCTCATTTATTTTACTGTAATTGTACCAGTAAAAATTAAAGCCTCTATAATCTGCAAATGACTTTTCTATTACTCTGATAGTTGACTGAAGGCTCTGTTATAAAAGCTACAGGCTAGAAATGGCGATATCAACGTTTCATGGAAAAGGGTTGCCTATACCAGATGTTTTTAAATGTTGATATTTCAAAGACCAGATTCATGGGCAAAGGGTAAGAGGCTGACATTGCTGAGACACTTTCAAATGCGGTAGTAGGCTGTGTCCAGTCTTCCTTGATTTCTGGACACTTTTAGTCTAGATGCAGATGATTGCATGAATATGGACTGCAAGCCAGAAACCAGTAAAACAAGAATAAATCACACAGAACTGAATGAGCACGAGGGAAAATTTATGGTGGTTATTTATCTGGAATGTTGATTTTTTTTAATGTTTTGTTTTCTAAACACATGAGGATGCCTTTTTTCTTATATTTTTAACACTATCTCTAACCTACCATTAAGTAAATTCTGTTTTTATAGACTAAATTGAAACATTTACAAATAATATCCAATATTTACTTACCTCTCAGAATTCAGCTCTTAGCCCTCTTAATAGTCAATTTGCATAGGGTCAATTAGAATCTATCCACAGGACAACATAGGCAAATCAATCAAACAAGCCAGTCCGTACCTGAAGTATCAATTTTAGAATGATGATGGTAACTGAATCAAATATGACTAGTGACTTTGAAGAATTCATAGAGCCATTGGCTACCACACCCTCCCAGGAAAACTGACCTAATACTTGGTTTTCAGGGAAGGAAGCTACCAGGCCAGCACATATTTGGAACCTAGAGGAATTCAACCAAGCTTTTAAGTAGGTCAAATATAGTGGGGTTTCTTGGGCTTAGCTTCCTAGCTGTGGACTTTGAAAAAAATCTAATACAAAATTCTTTATAAAAACATTGAGACAGAGATTAATTTTCATGAGTTTCACTGTTATTTATTGGTGGGTGGCTCTCTTTCTGGAAAGCAAATCCAAGAAGGCCTTTTTTCTTCTTTTTTTACTGTGATCAACAAGTCTTTTTTGAGATTATTACGATTATAGAGATAAAGGGAGAAGTATCAGGTGGACTATGAAGGCTTTTGCAGTGGGCACCAAGGACTGGGTATCTTTTCAATGGAATGTTAGGTGTTGTCTAGCACACCTTTATCTGTTTCTACTGGCCTCTGACCTTTCCCTGTATTTAACTTAGTTACTTTGTAAGTCTGTAAGTTACAAAGACTGTTATTATTGCAAAAAAATCTTGCCAGTGAAGATGCCTGGCCTACCCTTCCCATGGTAGAATCCAATTGTGAATTCACTTACAAATGTATTGCAGTATTCTCTAGTACCTGTGTGTATATCTAGTCTTTGATTTTCCTTTGAACTACTTGTCATCTTACCAGTTCCTTTATTAATTAATGACTAATATAAAATCCTTGACAGCTATTCATTTTTAAAAAATCAATTATTTCTCTCCTGGTTGTTGTTTTATACATTTGAGAGCATGGAACACCACCATTCTCATATTCAGGAGCAGAAAGGAAAATCTATCTAGTTGAACTGACTCAGAAACCTGTGATTTGAACTACATTTCATTTGTTAAGGCACCTTGATACATATCAATGATCTTGTAAAACCAAAATAAGCTCCAGAAGGAACTGCTCTGCCACACATAGCTGGCAGCAACTCACAGCAACAAATACATAATTTATGGGACTCCAGTTCTGTTAATATTCCAACACAGAAGAGTAACACAGTGATGGATGCTGGATTCCAAGCTTTGTAATAAAGCTGTTCAAGGACTTCTTGATTTAAGGATTCAAAACATAACCACCTTGCAGTTAAAAACTAGGGGAGGTAATGTTCGTGGGTTCACAGATTAGTTATAAAGAAAAAAGGAAACCTTTTTGCATTCATGTTTCATCTGACATCACTATAGCATTTATAACAGAAAGCATTTCAGAGCTGGTTATTATTATTTCATGGATGAGTACACCATGTCCCGCACTGCAAATGAGCACACAAAAACCCCACTTTTCACAACCACCAGGACCTGTCATCTACGAAGACTACACTTATCGGGACAGCCTCATTTCCTTTCTCATCAGCCCTAGAGGCAATATGTGTATGATCAAACTCAGCTACATTATCTAGGAGGCTCAATGCAAAATGAAAATACAGGGTCCCTTACTAAAGATTTATTAAGAATTACTGGGCCCTCCCTTGTGGTGCAGCGGGTTAAAGCACTGCACTAAGAAGCTTAAACCACTTCCGCATGAGTTCGATTCCCGCCTGCCCCTGAGGAGATCCACATGGCGAGGCAGACCTCTCCTAACCCGCCCGCTGTCGATCTGCCTGTTCTGCTCCCCACTCTGTCTCTGGTGAATCTCTCACCCTTCGCATCTCTGGCCTGTACACCAGTTCTATATGAATAAATAAATACATCTTTAAAAAAATAATAATTACAAGATGGCGAGCAAGTGTGGGGCCCTTCTCTGCATGTGTATGGGATCAGGGAGCAGTGCCCATTAGTGCCCATGCCTCTTATGGAAAACAGGTGCAGATGTCTTTAAGTTCCTTATAGAAATAGATTTTCACACACAAGCTAACATCTGCCTATATATTAATTTAGGTCTTTCCATCCCATAACAGCAGGAGGGACTTAAGTATGTTGTAGCTTTTGATTGTTGAATGGGATATCCTAGGATATATGCTAAAATCGAATCAGCTCTGCATCTGCCCCCAGGGATCTTGCTCTCTTAGTCCAGGAATGCCCACATTGGTAGCTCTTCCAAACCTCCAGGACCAGAGAGGAAGCTGCTGAGTTATCCACACATGAAGTCTTCCAAATGACCCAATGCCCATGGTTACCCTATGGCGAGAGGATGCCACAAGGATTTGCCTCCCTAGGGGCCCTTGGGCCCTTGAGACCACAGTCTGCTGTCTGGGAACACTGGGTTTAACATTAGCTTGCTGGCCGGGGTGGAAGTTTACATTAGCCACTGTCCTCTGCCTGCTTGCAATTTCCTGAAATTTACTTCATGCAGTTCTGAGACACTATTCATCTCCAAAGACTCAAAATGTGGCTCCTCCCACTGAAGTCTCCTCCTTTCCAGTAAAACTAGCAGGTCATCTCACCTTAACTTCATTTTCATACTTCCGGTGCAGATCCATATTGGCAACGAGGGTTTTCTTAGCCACCTCTGTGTCCCAAGTGCCTAATACAAAGTCTGGTATGTTGATGTTAGAGCTCAGTGTGCTTATGGCCGTGTATTATGAGCAAAGAAATACATGTAGGTGGCAATATTCCCACTGGACATGCAACAAAGAATATCAGTGCTCATATCCCAAGCTTGCTTTTCAACTTATAATTTTATTAAACAGAATAATTTCAGCCACTGCCACTTATTAGCCTTAACTCCTGTGAGGATTATTTTATGTGTGGTATCATTTATGATTTTTAGATGGGCCTACCATGAGAAATGCCCCTAGATCTTGGTTTTGGAAGGAGAAAGCTTTCAAACCTACTTTTTTGGCTCTGCTTCCCTCAAACCCAGAAGAAATTAAAATTGAGAAATCTATTTTCTTCAGTAACTTTAATGCAATTATTTTTTTTGATACAAGAGAAAAAAGTACAAGTTCTCCCAGTGTATATTTATTATCAAAAGGTTTTAAGGATGCTTATAACAAAGTCTTGCACACAGGAAGAGTAGGAAGAGATAAACTCAGTTTTTGACTGAGTACCTGTGGATTCCTGCCTCAGTGGGTGTGTGTGGGGGGAGGGCGGAGGGTTGAGTCACATGGGATGGCAAACACCTTATTTTTACCTGAGTGCCAAATCAAGTTACCATCTAAAATGGCCAAAAAGGCCTAGAAGCCTAAGAAAACACATTAGAAAAATTATGGCCATAAAGTTGGTCATGAAATGATAGGTATTATCTAAAAATAAAAAAAGATCTGAAATGCCAAAGTACCATTATTAGATATAACAGGGTGGGTGTGGGACAATAAATGGCCACATTTATGCTTCTATAATATCCAATAAACTGGTAACTGATACTTGAAAAATAGAACTGGTCCCTGAAATTGGAACCTTTTCCTTGCCTTTCCTTCTAGGAGCTAACACATAATCATGTTCTACCTGCTGCAGGGAATAAAAACACCAAAATACTTCAAGCACAGATAATACTATATAGAGGTTTACTTTCTGAGCTTTTTCCCCTCTGGACTTAGACACATTCTCACAGTCATCAATCACGCTTCATAGTACGAAAGCTTTCTGTGCTGTGAGATTTTATACAGCAAATCAAACTAGTCACAAAAATGTGCTATTTCTGTAGCCGAAGGAGGGTATGGTGCTATGGAACCCAGGCAGCAGACTGGCAGAGCTGACCCTCCACACAATGAAGGTTTCCAGGGGAAAGAAGTCTCCCCCTCCCTACGCAGCAGGGATCTTGGGTTCAATCTGCTTCCCCAAGTTCCCCAGCTCACCAATCTGATCCGTGATTTGGATCTCTGACCACCATTCATCACCTTGGCAGGAGGTGGGAAAATTAGGAATTGTAGGAGAGCCAAGGGAAAGCCTTAGGGCCCAAGCAGAAACTCTCCAGCCTCTAGAGAAGAAAGACAGGAAACAACCTGGGCCTGGTGGGGACATGGTTAGTCAATGTTCATCTTTGTATCCCCAGCACCTCGCTCAGCACTACAAAGGTTCCTGTTGCACTAAAGTTTGGGAGACCTAACTGAGGTCTCTAAGGATGGTATTTTAGTCATCCCAAGTCAAAAATTATCTGATTTCTTTGTTTCATTTTAAGATAAAATTGAGGTGTCTCTGTTTTGACAAAAACCAGGCAGCATTCAAATATAATAAACACTGAAGACCAACCCAGTGGCCAATTGTCAGGGCTGAGGAATGGTTGCTGAGAAAAAGCGGATCTTGTGACTTCTCCACTCTTGCCTGGTGCCTGGCTTCTTCTGTCCCGAAACTTCTTTGCAATCCCTTCCTCCTCTTTTTAGCCACTCCAGTGGCTCCCGTACAACTACACCAGCCTTCATGTCTCAACGGTGACACCAGCTGAGTGTTTTTACTTCTTCCAATTCTGGAAGACCAGGGGCACCCCACTCATGCTAACTACTTAGGAAAATATTTTAAAACTAGTATTTCTGGCAGATTTACAGAAAGAACTAATGTTGCTTAAAGCCAGAAGGTCCTGGAAGCAGCACTGACATGTTTATGGCTGTCTACAGTCACTCTACACAGCACTGTGAAAACTATGCAAGTCAAAAACAATTTAGACAAGCTTTAGCATTCTAAGGAAGGTATCAAAAAATTTCAGAAATACTATCAGGCCTGAGGCTGTGGGAAACACAGGGCAAGTCAGATGTGGTCTTGAGGGCTACCAGTACAGACTGGAAAGTTGTCTTAACATACACCCCATCATCTCAGAAGACAGGGCCCAAGAATCTACTCCTCCAACCCCGCCCCAAGAATTTACTTTTTAATCAGGCACTCTGTGCACTGCTAAGCTTGAGAAGTGTTCCAAAGAAAGACAAAGCTTTCTTTACTTTTCCTCTTAGCCCCTGAAATCTATCTCTCAAGAAGAAGAGTCTGATATGAATCAAGGCGAGTACTCAAAAAATATTTGGTCAAGTACAAAATGTACTGGGCAAGGATATTACTCTCCCCTTTTCCTTAAGCTGCCAGGAACCTTGAAGCCACATTTGAACTCAATTATAGGAAGTCTGTAGGTCTTCGTGGCCTGTAGTTTTTAGGTTTTCTCTCAAAGTATTACTCTTAAGTTCTCCATGCTTCTAATTTTTACCTCTTAATTATCTGCTGTCATTACTTTATTTTGTGGGTTTTGGGAGTACTCTCCAATCCTCAGTGGAATAAAATGAGTATAAATAAATAAACAGGTACGGGGACAAATCAAAGAGGCTATTACTGGCTGGTGCTCTTGTTCTGTTCCTTCCCTCACTGCCATTCTGCCACGGGAAGTGGACCGCATTCCTGTCTTGTCCCGGCTTTCAGCCCGAAATCCTTTCCCAGAGTTCTTTATAAAAGCACCAGCAGCCTTACTTGTGTCCTTGGAGCTCGATGGCTGTTCCTTTTCTGCCGCCGATGTCCCACATGATAACAGAGTGATCTGAGCTGCCCGAGAACAGAACTCGTTGAACGGGGTCCCAACACAGAGCAGTCACCCCACCTGACGGAACAGACACCACTGGACATTAGGCATAATAAACAGTGTGAGTCACTCACAAATGCGAATGTAAAAGAGTTAGGATCTAGAGCAGTTTTTGGGCATGCAACAACTCCTTGTTGTGAATAAACACTGAAGCCCCTAAAGACAAAGTAATTGGCTCTAAGAATAAAAGTCCCACCCCAAATTTAATGAACCATAAAATCAATTATGATAAAGACCAAAGGGAAAAGACAAAGGTGATTAACTGATCTCCAAACAACAGGCATACTTCTTAGAAGAATGTAAAATACTGTACTGTTTAAAAAACAGTAACCGGCCCTCCCTGGTGGCCCAGCGGGTTAAAGCACCACACTGAGAAGCTAAAGCCACTTCCGCATGAGTTCGATTCCCACCTGCCCCAGAGGTGACCACATGGCGTGGCAGACCTCTCCTGACCCGCCCGCTGCTCCCCTCAGCAGTGTACTTCATTGATCTGCCTGTTCTGCTCCCTACTCTGTCTCTGGTGAAGCCTCTCACCTTCCGCATCTCTGGCCTGTACCCCAGTTCTGTATGAATAAATAAATAAATCTTAAAAAAAAAAAAAAAACAGTAACCATATGATCTGAACTGCCATTTTCTACTACCCACCCTGTGACCACAGATAAAGGTAAACAGGGATTTACAAAGCATTAAAAAGTTAAAACTCTCAATCAGATTTTTTATTCGTGCATATCAGATGGAATTAAACTATATCGGACTTTAAGGTAGATTTTCTCTCTTTGGGAATTTAAATGGACAGAACCACAGCAAATGACAGCCTACTCCCCTCCACTATAAAACGGGAGCAAAAGTAGTGTGGAAACAGCCACCACGAGTGGCAGCCTGAGCACTGGGGCCGCTGGTAGGACCCTAAGGCCCTGAGACACCACCGATGTGCCATCATCAGGGTGTCTGAGGCAGTGGTAAGAATTCCATCAGACCAACCAACAGCCACTGTAAACCACAGTGAGTTCCCCAGAGGTGCGCTGCTAGCATTTCTCCAGTGTAGCTATAAACTACCGCAATACGTTTCCTCTCCAGCAGTCCCCTTGTATAAATCAAAGCTGTGTGCTGGGAACAATCATAACTTTTCCCATCTAAGATGAATACAAAGCCTACAATTACTTATGAATGCAAGAAATAATCAGTTTTTCCCATTATTGGAAAAGTACTGTATCCTGAAACAAACAATCAATAGCTCCTTATTTGTTGGAATCTTTTTATTTAGATTATCAATGTGTTGTAATGAAGTACTGCACTTTAAAAGCTTTTAGGGAAGTTTCTCTTGTAAATGTCTCATAAGATTACTTTCCACATAAAAACAAAAACCCTTGCGGATTAAGCTAACAGTTCCTTCCTCGCCCTACACACACTCTGCAGGCATAGATCCCTGTCCTCGCAAGAAACACCATTTTCTCAGTGGACATGGTGATTACCCCTGAAATTTCCAGCTCCTCTCTCCTCGTGCCCCTCCCCCATAATAAATAGCTCCAGGACTTAGTGTTTGTTGAATGAATGAAGGAGCAGATGAATGAAAACACATTTTTTTAAATTCATAAATCTCATTTGCTATGCTCACTGAGCCCTTCAGAGCTCGGTATTTTCTTTCCTGTGGAACTCATCTTCTTCCTAGCTATTAAACTTTATAAAAAATCATCATTCAGTATTTGAGAACATAATACTTCAGGATATGCATTCCATCCTGCAAATATTACTTATTCCCACACAATACCCAAATGGCTTACTTTTTAAAATCTTGGTAACAGAGTTAGCCAACAACCTAAATTCATATTCCCCCTCTCCCAGAAAGCTGCTTTCCTGTAGGGACCACACTCACTGGTCCCGGTTACATTAGGGACATGTGACCAATTTCAGTTACGGTACCCAGAAAGTGTGAAGTGGCTCGCATGACATTGAGGCCAAGGTGGTTAAGATGATTCTTTCCACTTTCTCTTTATACTTCCTCCAGAGAATGGAAAAATTACATTTGAGAAGAAGCCTGGGTTCCCACGTGGAATAACCATGTGGAAAAGAATTGTAAATTAGGAACACTGGCACCGGGTTGCGCATGAGTGAGAAATAAACATCTGCTGCATTAAGTTACTGAAATGCTGAAGGTGATTTGTTGCAGATAGTGTTCCCTATTATAGTGTGATTGATATATTTTTGAGACTACTATAACAAGATCGGCCCCAACAAGAAGAAAGTGTTACCCAAATCTTCATAAACTATTAGTTTAGAATGAGTACTGAGCCTAATGTTTAAACAGAATCAGAGAACTCTGATCAGAAACTGTTGAATTAGCCTCCAAATCAGTCAATTATCAACTCTGAATTAGTTGGGCTTTTCCCCTAATATTTTTTCAAAATATATATAGAACCTAAGCACTTCTCACCCCTATTGTTAGGATCCTTGCATGAGTCACTATCTAAAATCTTGGTTGGAAAATTAAAAAGTGATACACATTTTGTCATAAAGGTTATGGGAGAACAGGAACTCCCCACATGTTTTTATGTGACTGCAGACAGGTGAAATGAGAAGGGCCACATGCAACAAATTCACCTATGCACTTAGCTTTCAACCCAGCAAGTTTATGTCTAAGAATTTATCTAAGACACTTTCCCTACTCATACCAAATAACAAAAATATACAAGGCAAGGCTATTCATTTCACCATTGTATTATACTGCAAATTACTTAGGAACACTCTAAATGTCACATAGACTGGGTGAGTCAATGGTGATGCACTCATCCTGAATGCTGTGCCGAAATCATGAGCGCCAGCCTCTTTCTTCTAAAGAGACTATCCCACATCTGTCAGCAGACAGAGCTTCCTGATAAACAGTAGTCTTTTTTCCACTGGCTACTTCAGGCAGCAGGGCAAGGCACGGTCTCCAGCAAGCCTGCAGTGCAGACAAACACCTCATGCTCCAAAAACCCTCCTCGCTCTGCATAGCTAGGTCAGAGGATAGGAGCCGGTAGCTATAACAGGTGTGAGTTTCCTGGGTTTATGATATTTTGAAAGACAAAGAAATTCTCTTATTCATTTCAGAGTCCTCCCATCTTTCTGCTTTCCCTCAGTGTTTTATTTATTGTTTCTCCCTGACTTCGATCTCCACAGGAACTATAAATAATCTTTACCATAAATGAATTCATTCTTAAAGATAAATGTTTTTCTAATTATAAAATTTATCTATACTGTGGTATACACACAAATGTAATTTTTAGTAGTTGCTCAATCTCAATGTATAGATGTTCCTTATTTCATTTGTTCAATTTTTTTCCACTTTTAATTATTAAAATTCTTGCTAAGGTGATTTTTATTTATATGTAAAACTTTATTCACATTTTTGATTAACCAGGAAAAAATTTCCAAATATGGAATTGGATCAAAGAATATAAATATTTTTAGAAATTTAAAATGTGTTACTGAAATGCTTAGTAAACTAATTTTTTTGAGACTTTTACAGCATAGCCTGCAAAAGCTTGAGATTATGTAGAAAGTTCCGAATCAGGGTTGGAAATTGCTGGATTTGTGTTTCCCAGTGTTTGGTAACTCACCAAGATTGCTGTATCCACCTTGCCAGATGAAGGTGTGTAGGCCACATGTGAGCCAACTATGTAAGTCCTCAGAGCACAAAGTCTCCTGACTAAAATACCTGGCCTTTCTGGTTGCTGTACATGCTGTATATGTGCGAGGTTGACGTGATAAATGTGTCTGTAAAGCTACAATAAATGTGTGCTCTCTCTTGGCAATACCTTCTTCTTGGGGTCCACAAACAGACTTCCAGCCTTTTCGTCACCTCGCCAGTGATGTTTCTCGGTCAGGTTTAGTTTAAAGCAGTCTGACATTCTCTCCTGAACCGGCTCTATCTCCAACATTCCTGCTTTCAGTAAATGGCACCTCTGCTGTTGACCCAGATGCTCCAGCCAGAAACCTGGGAGCCACACCTACCCCAATGGCCGAGCGCTGCTGTCTGCTGCCCTCCTAAATAGACCCTGAAAACCTTCTCTTCTCCTCACCCATGGCCATCTCCCTGCCTCCAAACTGATGCCACCTTTCCTCAGGACTCCAGCAGTCACCTTTTATGTGGTCTCTTGTTCCCACTCGATCTACCAATCACTGCTGCCAGTGATGTGTTAAAATGGAATCCATGTTCCTACCCTGATTAAGCCTTATCACTGCTTTCCCACAGCCTGAGATCAATGTCCCCGGCTCTCCACACTACCTGGAAGGCCAGCCGCCTCTCCCATGACCTCTACATGGGCCATCAGCCTTCACTCAGTTGCTCACACTTTCCCACTCTGGGCTTCACACATCAGGATCTAGAATGTTCACATTACCTGGACTATGCCTTTTTCTTTCTCCTTAGAGTGCGGTGAAACACCATGTCTGGGAAAGCCTCCCTTAACTCTGCACACGACAGGCCCTCATGTTACTGTGCCAAAGCAGCCTGTGCCCAACATCAGGCTTAACAGCACTTACTGCACTCGGGTGTTTTCAGTAATTACCTGCAATCACCGGTCAATGCCCATATTCTAACTAGAAATTTGACAGGGCAAGTATTATGCTTGTCATATTCAGTCATAACTCACTTTATTGCACTTCACTTTTTTCTTTACAAATTCAAAGTTTGAGGTTAGTCTACATCAACTGAGGTATCACTTTTCTATAGCATGTGCTTTGTGTCTGTCACATTTAATTAAGGTATATACATTGTTTTCTTAAGACAGAATGCTGTTGCACACTTAACTGGCTACAGTATAGTATAAATATAACTTTTATATGCAATGGGAAATCAAAAACTTCATGACTTTATGGCGATGGCCTGGAACAGAAACTGCAGTGTCTTTAAAGGGAGTCTGTTTGGCCCTGCAGCTCAGCACTTACAGACTTAACGACTTCACTGGCCCTTGATGGAAACCCATGTCTATGGTTCTCATATAAGCCAGACTGACGAAAAAGCTCCATTATAAACAAAAAGTAAGCTTTCAATTTCACTTGTTGAACTTGCATATTGGCACTGAACTATGTCTGGTCTTGTTTTAGATTCTTTTGTTTCAATGCTACTTGCAGTAATTCTAATAGTTAAGAACAAGTATGTATTTAATTTTTCATTAATTAGTATACTTTGGCAGATTTACATTCTAATCCTTCTGTTTCCAATATGCTCATACTTAAAGAAATATTTTTAGAAGTAAAAAGGATTTTATTGATACTGTGAATTTCTAATGGTCAAAGTCTGATTTTTCTCTCTGTTCAAATTGGTAGAAATGCATTCTAATCTCTGCAGAAATGGAAAAGAAGTAAGAATGTGGCATTTAGCTCCAGAAATAAAACCAGCAGAGGGAGCTTAAGAACATAAAACTAGTTTTCTACGTCTCCATGGATTAGTAAATGTTATGTTTTGGCCTCTGGCTAGGACTTTTAGGTCAATTTCATCATGAATCCACATTTTTAAATATGACCTCTATACTATAAGGACGTGATAGGTGAGTGGTTATTACCTTATACACATACCAAAGCCTGTCTGATTCTGAGTTTGGGTCTGGACAGAGGTAAGTCTCAAGATTACTCTTTAATGGACCTGGGTTCATCTTGAAGGCTTAAATTGGGAGAGAGGAGTGAGGAGATTAAACTAATCCTTACAAACTTCCCCTTTATCAGAGTTGTGTCTGGTTGACTTTGAGAACTACATAGGAAAAAGGTGACTATATGTTTGAATCTATGTAAACTTCTAGGTCTCCTTGGGTTAACATTACATGAGTAACTTCCGCTGTAGCCAGACTGGTGGTGGGTAGATACAATTATCTAGAAATAATAACTTAAATAGCTGAACATGTTATTTAACATTTTGAACAACCCTCAAGACATGAGAACTTTGGGCCACATCTGGCTCAACAGACAACAGTAAGAAGCAGCTACTTACTTACCCCTTTCCTGACCTGGAGGCAACGACTCAGAACTCAGAGGATTCCTATCAGTCACAGAAGGCGACCACATGACAACTCAAGAGCCAAAAGGTCAGGCAGAGTCATCTCTGTCGAAACCAAATCTGAACTGTCCATCAAGCCTGTGAACTCACTGACTAAATTTTACCCAACCACCATTCCTCGCTTTCCCATCACCACAGTTCACAAGACAATTCCTTTTTAACTTTCCAATTACACTCTCTACTGCCAGAACAATCTTTTAAAAATTTCAATCAGGCTAGCTTCTTTGTGTGAAACTCTTCAAGGGATTCTCACTGATGTCATGACAATGCCCTCAGAGATCTGAACTGACTTGCATTTCCTTCCTGGCTGCTCCCTCCCACTCCATACTTCAAGTGTTCCAGCCCAAAGGCACACTCTTGGAAATCCCCAAGCCTCGCACTATGCAGGCTTCCTTGATTGGACTGTTCTTTTCACTTCTTTTACATGAACTCAACACATCCCTCCTCAATGCTCTTAAGTCAAGCACATCGCTATCTCTCCTGGGGAGATCTTCTTTCCCTGGCTGACTCCCACTTCTGTTCAAGTGAGGACCCTATCCTGTCTTCTTAGAGGTGCTCGGTGCCTGCTTCCCTTGCCTTTACCATCATGCACCGTAATTACTGCTTAGTTCTTGTCTCACATTGGGCTCTGAGGCATTTGAGGACAATGACTGTGCCTTTTATTTCTGTGCCTGGGAGATTCAACCAGTGAGAGCACAGAGTGTAAAGAGAAGAAGGTCTAAGGTAGAATTCACAAAGAAGACCACAAAGGAAACTGAGAGAGAAGAAAATTTTAGAGTGAATATGTCAGAGAAGCCAGAGGAAGGTAATTATAAGCAAGAAGGAATGGCCACAAGGTGAAATGCCTCTCAATAGTTAAGTATGTCACATGCACTAGATTTAGCAGCCAGCAGGCCTTTAATGACCTCAGGGAAGCAGTTTCAGTGGAATGGCAGAGACAAGTCAAGGGAAGCAAGTGGAAGGTGAAGAATTTGAAGCATCTTGGGAAACGACCTTCTTTTAAGAAGCACTGCTGTTTGCTGCAATACAAAGCTCTTTTGCTAAGTGAAATAAGCCAGTCACAGAACAATGAATACTCTGCTTCCACTCACATAGGGTACCTAGAGTATCCAGATTCATAGGTGGAAAGTGGGGTAGTGACTGCTAGGGGCTGAGGAGAGAGAGGACAGCTGGTATATAATGGCTACAGAGTTTGTTTTGCAAGATGAAAAATATTCTGTAGCTGGATGGAGGTGAAGGCTGTGTATAACAATGTGTGTTTACTGCCACAGAATTGCATTCAAACTGGTTAGAGTGGTACATTTTAGGTATGTGCTGCTTACCACATTAAAAAAAAAATAGCAAAAAGCATTTGTGTTCGAAAATAAGATGATAACTGCTATGGCAGGATATGGGATCCATGTTTTGTAATAGAGAGGTAAGAAATTCAAGCAGTTAACAGACTGGAAGAGCCTGTTCATCAAAAAGGGAGACAAGGGGAACAATTGCCATGTGGAGACCCTAAGGAGCACGGGAGCCAGGGTGGTGGGCTCCTGCATGAGACAGTGTGAGAAAAGAAGGGGGAAGAGGAAGTGCTTGTTTACTGTTGAGAGACTATGCAGTGGACAAAAATAAATTTCTCTAAAAAGTTTTAATCTGATAACCTCTTGTATTTCTTTGGAGGAGGCTGGATAAGGCGGGGGAAGGGGCTAACTGTTTCACGTGAAGGTATGAACCGGAGGCATGTATTGTGGCCCTGAGGGACCTTGAGGAGGATTCATGATACCTCTCAGGGAGCCTGGACTGGAATGAGGAATTTGCAACGATGATGGCTAAGGCTGTGGCTTGCGACTTGTTCAGCAGCTGAGAGCACAAGGAGAGAATGTGGACAGTGAGACTGAATCACAGACATGGCTTCCCAAGAAGTTAGAACAAGAGTATGTAGGATTGAGAATGTTGAGAAGCATGCAGCTGAAGTGATGTGCTGCTGGAGGGAAGGGAAGACTGAATGGGGCTAAGATGATGGCAACGTGAGGATCCAGGACTCGGCCTGTCAAGGAGAGAAAATGGAATTGGAGCAAAGGCTTACGAGATTAAAAGATTTGGAGACTGAGGTCAGCAGTAAAATAGAGAAGTTTAAGATCTCTGAGGAAGTACAGGTCTGGGTCCCTACCCGGCGGGGCTTGGCCAGAGGGTAGGAGGGAAGAGCTGGGCCCTGTCAATCGGGGATGTTTCCATGCGTTTCTCTTCCCAGAGATGATCTTTTTCTCAGATTCAGTTTTCTCTTTACTGCATGTTTTTCTTTGGAAAAGTTCTTTATGACCTACAGTGTTATCCCATTTTGCAATCTTATTCACCTACTTTGCTTGTATATGACATCTAAAGTCAATACTGATCTCATCCTGTACTAAATCATGGGTTGAAATCTGCAGAAGACACAGAAGGCCATTAAAAAAGCTGCATTAACAGGCAGACACTCAATTTTCCAGGGTCAAAATTAGAGGTTAGAAATACTCGTAAAAATTATCATCATCTATTTGAATCTTTCAAAGACTTAATCATTCAGAGGTAGTTTATACTACTTTGTTTAAATGACCATGAGCAGACCAGTTACATAAAGGGAGGCTTTGGGTTTAAACTGAAAAGAACCCAACAGGAAGGAAAGTCAAAGAGGAACTTACACCTATTTATGTAGCCTAGTTACCCATGACGGACGCATTTCCCATTTCACTTGAGTTGGAAGTGGAAGTCAGCCTTACATACTATCTTCGTGCTCCAAGAATGGCAAAGACAATTGAGAGAGCTGCCCTTTGGGCTTTCTTGCATCTGTGCAGTTGCCACAGGGTTTTAGAGCCTTATTAATATATGCCAGCACCAGCCTTCTTTAGTGTAACAGGACCAAGAACCAAGTCATCAATGTTTTAAAACAGAGTGGTTCATCTTTTGTTTTAAATGACGTATGAATGTTGGACATTACATCTTTCTGAACCACTCAAGTCTATCAAATGTCTGCAGGCTGTCCCAGGCCACTCTCACCATGAGTCATCTACACACAGAACATGCAGCAGCACCTGGAGACTTCACTTTCAATCCCACCTGTGTGTCCTCTGAATGTTGTGACCAGGGTGCAGTTTTCTTGTTCCAGTTTGAGGATGGTTACTTGGCCTGAGTGGTCACCAATAAACACGTGCCGGGTTTCAACATCAAATCTATCATGTAAGCATTAAGGAGTATTTCTCAAAACTTAGTAGAGGACGGAAATAAATAAATGTAACAAAAAATGTGTAAATCCCATTTGAGGAAAGCTTGGACAATGCTGAAAGACACAAAAGTGGACATAACAAAGTGGAAGACATACAGAATACTCGACAGTAAGATGCATTATGATGTCAACTCACAATACATGACTTTATACATTAATATAACCCCTATACAAATATCAACTTTTTTTTCTTAGAACGAGATATATAATTCAAAAGTTCATGTAGAAAAATAAATAATCAAGGAGAGTCAGGAATAAGAGTAATAAGGTATATGATTAGGGGAGGTAAGCTCTACTAATTATTTAAACAAGTTATCTTTTCTTTAACTGAAAGTGTGGTGTTGGTTCATAAGTAGACAGAAACAAAATAGAAACTCTACAAATAGACCTAAAAGCATTTCAAAATTGAGTACATTTATGATTTAGACAAGGCTCTTCAAATAAAGAAAAAATGGATTTTCAAAATACAGAATGTTGTCACAAACTAGACAGTCATTTTGGGGGGAAAATCTGTATTTCATTTTACTTATCAGGATAAATTCCAAATGTATTAGAGATCTAAATGTAAAAAGTAGAAAATACAAGTTGTAGATTAGAAAATCTCTTTACAGCCTAGGACTGGGAAAAATCTATGACTGAAAAAAACAAGAAACAACAAACATCTTAAAGCAAAGACTAACACAAATTAGAAGACAAAAAATTGCAAAATGTCACAACTACTCAATCTCAAAAAAAAAAAAAAAAATCCCAAACAAACCTAATGGAAAAGCGACAAAAGATACGAATGGATAGTTCAAGAAGAAATGAGAAAATAATTCTGCACCAAAAAGAATTAACTAAGCAGGCCTGACTACTCGCTTTCAAAAGAACTTGAACTTTGATTGGATGCCCACCATTAATTGACAGTAGTGGGTCTCTTCTTGCCTTAACTGTGCACAATATGGTTTACTACTAAAGACCTGCTTTCCTTCTGGGAGTCTGGATTTTTGGTATGTGCCAGCCCTTTCTGTGTGACCAGTCTTCAGTAAATCCCCAGCACCAAGTCTCTAACGAGTTGCTAATTCAGTTGACAAGTCACAGCAGTCCTACTTTTAGAGAGCTACCCCAGATAGAAACTTACAAAAAATACAAAATGACACATGCCTGAAGCTATGTACTCCATATTCTTTTAATAGCTGGTTTTCAAGCTACCTGAAAGTCCATCAGAGGGACTTACTAAATTAACTATGCTATTCCCATGCAGTGGTATACTATGCAACTGCAGGGGAAATGAACCCCCAACACAGAGAAATTTCCAGGATCTATGCTTAAGTGTTGAGGTTGGGGGTGGTGGTAGGTGAAGAAGCCAAGATACACCAGAATTTATATGCTATACTATCTCTGTGTAAGAAAAGAAGGGAACTATAAATATAAGAATATGTGTGCTGTATTTAGAAAAGGAAGCACTGAAGGAGGTGGCCCAAGATGTAAAATATGGCTGACTGTGGAGAAGGGAGAAACAAGCAGAAAGGTCAGGGTGCAGTTAGTCTTCTCTCGTTACACAGTTTTCATTTTGGAATCTTATAATTACAATACATACTAAAAGAATCTACCATGCTTATAAAATCCCCCAAAGTAATAAAACAAAATGAATGAGCTCAACCATCAAACTGATGATATAACTTCACAGTTAAAATAGAATTCTTTCAACTGACTTTAAAACAGTATTTTGACTGTATGTTCTTGGCAGAATATATTATAAAGACAAAGAGAACTGCAAAGAAATCTCATTCAGCAGTTTTCTTGTTATTATGACACTGCTATTATTACCTTGAGTTGATTTAAATATACCATAGGCTAAAGCAAATAAGGAGTTATGTTAATGTTTCAGGAACCAAGATTTTGAGTTCAAAATAAAAAATCAAGTACAAAAGTAAAGTAAAAGCCCTAGGAGGCTACATTTGAGGTTAGAAATAGATGAACTAATGGTTTCTTTTCTTTTTAAAATTACACATACAAGACTTCCTAACTCTCTCTGTGAGCCATTCCCCCATTAAAATAAGAGCCTGATTCTATGCTTGAGATAGGAAAGGTACAGAAGAACTTAAGACATGCTAAAAAGCAAGGACGCTAGTAATGACTAGTGGGTTTGTATCAAAAAGACATAGGAGTCAATATTATGGGGCTCTGGTTGGCCCAGGATGGGACAATTTTTGTATAAAATGAAAAAGATGGTAGTTTATTGAAATATAGTATGTTATTAAATAAACTCAACAAACCCTAGGAGTTTCTAATAATGGATAAAGAGAAAAAAAAATATCCTTATTGTCAGTCACCAGAATACAACAGCTCTACTCTGAAAATAAGTAATTAAAGAGAAATAATTAAGAATTTGTCTTGTTTTTCCTATACTGATTGTATTTCAGGGTTACTAAGTAGGCCTATTTAATGAAGGACAGTTCTCCTTTACAGAAGAATGCCAAATAATACATGTGAAAAAAGGACAGTATTAAAAATCACCATTTTGCAACCCCAGTGAACCCCTGGCTTAGAGAGAGAAAAAACAGCAATGGGTAAAATCATTAAATGAAAGGCTGGTGGGAGGGCCGCGCCAAGGGAAATCCTGTCATCACTTGATCCATGGATCAATCTCCCAGCCTCACCAGAAGCATGACAACCTGAAACTATGGGCTTCCTGCAGCGAAGCAAAATGGAGCACATGGTACAATCACTCTGTTCTTATCAAAAGTGAATCTGAACTGAATGGAGATTTTAAAGGCAGAAAAATACAGAAGTATAGGTAGAGGAACAAGTTAAATGACATCATAAGGAGGCAGAGATCACTTAAGATTGTGAGGCTGTCTACAGAACTGACAGCACAGCCTCAACAAGTCACAATGGCATTAAAAGCAAAAAGAAATACCTAGACTGAGAGATTTAGGAGCTATGAGAACCACAGCCAGTGTGTGGTTCTTGTCTGCAGAGAATTTCAAACAAACCCACTGCAAAGTTATTTGTGAAACAAGTAAAATTTTAAAATTGCGTTAATTACTCAATGATACGGAGGGATTATTTTGTTATTTTGAAAATAGCAGCATTATGAGTGATTTTAGTAAGTTCACAGTTTTTAGAGGTGCAGAGTGAAGTATGGAAGGATGAAACAAGATAAAATCTAGAATTTGCTTTAAAATGCTCTAGTAAAAAGAGAAAACAAAAGGGGATGGAATAATCAATGTGGTGCTGAGTGACAAGTATGGATACATTCTCTTTTCTCCAATCTGATGTATGCTGGAAAATTTTCGGAATAAATCCCTTTTAAAAAAATGAGAAAGAGAACAATACAGAACAAATTCTTTCAGTTTCAAGAAGAAAAGTTATATATACCTCACAAGTTATCCGATGTATGTAAAAGAACAGATTTACACATAGTAAGATCACCTTAAATTTATTGATTATTTTAACAGATTAAAAAAAAGCAAACTAAATCAGATGCCCAACAGTCTTTACAGCTGCAGCTAAGCAAGAGCAATCTCAAATAAATAAATAAAAAGAAGTAACAAAAGCAATTTGGAAGAAGGCTGAAATAAAATTATACTGCAATCGCAAAACCAGAATGTTTGGCATTAAGTACGATATGAGGAAACATGAAACTCAAGATAATCTTAGCTTTTCCATATTCACTCTCTGAATAGAAACAGATCCGAAACAGATCCAAGAGACCACAATGGTGGAAAGACATTCAGCTACAAATGATGAATATTGGAAATATCTCTGACAGAAATAAAAAATGAAGAGTATGTGATTTTGGGGAAAGCATGAAAAAAGTGACCCAATATAGTCAAAGGACAAGGCCGAAAGGTGAGGTTAGATAAAATAGAAACAAAATTAAAAACTTATAAGTGAAGCAAGAAGAAAAACAGTTCTGCTTAATATCAACCTGCTGCAGGACCCACGGGCAATGCCTCCATTCTGTTCTATCTACTTGTGCAGATGGCCTTTGAAAATTATACAGTAGCCACATTCTGATGTGGCCATGTGACCTTGAGCAAGTCACTTAACCTTTCTGAGCCTTGGTTTCTACACTGTGAAAATGGAGAACTGTCTTTTCCTTTTCATTTCACATTATTGCTTTGCTGGTGAACAATATGACATTATGTAGAAGCACCATGCAAACTCTCAGAAGCTGTAAATGTCAGATATTTTCTGCTTTCCTCTCTCCTTGTTGCTGCTATATCACTGTTGTTGTGGTATTATAAGTCACTTAATATTTGAAGCTTCAGACCTCCAGCCAGAACAACCAAAGATTCTGAGATTCAAGTATTGATAATTCCCTTTGTGAATTGATCTGTCTCTTTGTCCTCCACTCCTTCCCTACTTGAATTTTGATTATTTTCATTGCATATTTACTTCTCCACTGAGATATGAAAGAAGAGAAAAAAGGCCAAATTCAGTCTGATTCATCTGTCCACTAAGAAGAGAAATAGGGGTTGGGTAAAGATTTTGCAATGAATCTTTTTAATGTCGTTTAGTAGTTTCTTCTTCTTTCCTTTATCACTGAAAGAACATGAAGGTGACAGAAAGGAAATGGAAGAGATGGAGTGTGGTGTTCCCATGAGAAAATATGCTTAAAAACTGGATTTAAATGTGAATCCCAACACTGCACAGGCTGCCTGTTAACAATCTGTGCTTGGGAGCTCCCAGGGAAAAAAAATCTACATCCTTGGGAAAGTCACATGGTTCTTGGCTGAGACCCTCTGGCAAAAGCAGAGCTGTTATGCTCTCCGTGTGCAGCACTGGAAAAGTACCAGAGATACATGTGCTCCAGGAACAAGGCTGGACACTGTGGCTCTAAAGCGAGGGTTAGTGAGGCAGAGCTGGTGAAGGGAAGGGATCCTCTGGGAGGACTGTCAGGGGCATGACAGCCCACCTCTACTTAACGAACGAAGTTTTGGACTGGAGGGTCACTGGAAAACCAAGCCAGAGGCATTCACACACCATAAAAACTTCTGATGACCAATCCATGATTATTGTTTGCTTGGTAAACCACACAGTGTGGTCAGCGGAAACAGTCTAAAAATGAGGATGACTTCTGATATGTCCAGAGAGAGGATTCCAAGGCAACCACAGTTCAGACAAGTTTAATTCTGTGTATTTGTGTTTTGGTTTTCATTTTCAGATTTTTTAAAAAGAAAATTTCTTAAGGACAAGATGTATACTGTTTTCTACACTTTGAAGTGATACAGAAGACATATCATTAGGCTTAGCTGGTGATACAGAAAGCAGAGTATTAAGAATGAATTATTGATGCTGTTAGTTCTCTTCTCAAAAGGTAATTCAGTCGAGTGGGAAAGAAGAAGAGGCCAAAGCCAAAGACTTGGCTTGTGGAGGCCCTTTCCCCACTTACTGGCTGGGTGGCCTCCAGTAAGGCGTAAAGCCCTTTCTAGGCTCAGCATATGTAAAAGGAGGCCTCCATTCTAGCAACATAAGAAATCATTAATCTTTTGGTAAGAGATGCCATAGATTTCAATTCAAGCATCATTTTTGTCTGAATTGGTTCTTAGAAAGTGATCTTTACAGTTGCTTCTATTAACAGGGGGTACCATCCTCTCACAGATAAGTTGGTCCAGCTTGTCTTCCCCATCACCCCTCCTCCTGGCCTTCTCAGTAACTTGCCACTTTTACAAGCTTCCCTGATGGCCATTATTACTTCATTATGCCCTTCCAGGGATGAAAATAAAAGTGACACTAGCTTAGACAAAATGATAGCTACTGCCGCAAAGTCTGCACATAAATAGCAAAGTTCTATGTCAGATTGTTGAGAATCCCCAGAGGTATTTATAAATGAGGTAAAAATATGAAAGCAAGAATTACTACTTTGCCGGCCCCCCCCGGTGGCGCAGCAAGTTAAAACACAGCACTAAGAAGCTAACGCCACTTGAGCATGAGTTCGATCCCCACCATGGATGTGATCCACATGGTGTGGCAGACCTCTCCTGACCCACCCGCTGTTCCCCTCAGCAGTGTGCTTCATTGATTTGCCTTTTCTGCTCCCCACTCTGTCTCTGGTGAAACCTCTCATCACCCCTGAACCTTTGGCCCCAGTTCTGTAGCATAAATAAATAAATCTAAAAAAAAAAAAAATTACTACTTTCCTACTTTCGCTAAAACTGTGATCTGTTTCTACCTATTTCCCTCTTGTCAGAGGTGGAAAGGAAATTTATACTTTTCAAATTAAGAAGATAAGAGCTCTATACGCTTTACAATGGCAGCAATACCCATGTAGGCATCACACTCATGAAGCCTGTGCCTGCTGCAGCTTCAAGGCTAGATGTGGGAACCAGCCAGCACTAACAGGGGTTCACCTGTGCACAGGACCCCAGTGCCGGAGAAATAAGACTTTGTATTTTTTTATATCCAGGAAGTCTTCAACAGAAACAGTCTATAACACAACCATGTATACATAATAGCTAACCCACTCCAGTCCTGGCATAGTGTAACTCAATAAATATTATACTTCATAAAGAAATAGGGATCACATGCTTTTTGGGCTAGGTACCAATAGGAGTGCTCAAAACTTTAATATGTATGTGTATATTATTTCTATACAGAAAGGAAAAGTTGTATTGCAGTGATGGTTTTACCTTCTTTCTGACAGCTGAGGCTCCCAAACTTGGCTGTGTCCCAACTAGATGTGGACAGAGCCACAATCTGAATAGCAGAAGCAGGGTCTTTTATTTCAGGTGAAATGACTTCACTTTACCCTCATCTTTACCTCACTTACATGAGAACCCTTGATTACTTGTGTGGTAGGAAAGTCTACAAGTATGTTAACAGGGCAAACAACAAAATAAAAATTTTCCAGTTGCACATACCCAAAATGTTCATGAAAGAAAGAGGTCAACAGCTGAATTCCCACCAGGGAATTCTGTCCAGCAAAGGATACTGCAGGCCTGAGGCCACAGCACTGGTGCGATAACCTCCCAGTCGCTGCCCACTCTCAGAACAGTGCCAGGCGAACTGCTTGTCCTGCCCCGTGCTCAGCACCCATTCCAGCTCCAGAACAAACAGGATCATGGTCACTCTGCTCTGATGTGCTAAATTCAAGAAAGAAGAAAATGGTAAAACAGAATCAACAGCAATACATTATTTTCTTCTTCCCACCCAGGAGTAAGTAACCATAGTTGCTACAAACACGAGTCAGACAGGAGTTCTTATAAGGGTTGGAGATGCCTCTTGTAGATGGCCTCTCAAGTTGAATGTTTTTTTAAAGATGTATTTATTTATGCATACAGAGCTGGGGTACAGGCCAGCAGTGCAGGGGCGGTGAGAGGATTCACCAGAGAGAGTGAGGAGCAGAACAGGCAGATCATGAGGTACACTGCTGAGGGGATTAGCTGGCAGGTTAGGAGAGGTCTGCTGCGTCATGTGGATCACATCCGGGATGGAGATCGAACTCATGTGGCTTTAGCTTTTTAGTGCTGTGCTTTAACCCGCTGAGCCACTAGGGAGGGCCCTGTTTGTTTGTTTGTTTGTTTTTTGAAATGAAACGTAAAGAAAATAAAAGTTATCTATCTTCCTTCACTACTCTCCTCCTGGCTGTGCCTGCACTATTATAAAGATGACTACCACAGGGAGAGGTTCCAATACCAAAGGGCTGGGCCATCTCTCTGATGTTAGTCAGGGCTACTGACCTAGACATGGCATAGAACTACTGTGACTACAGAACACATCAGGAACCATTTTCTTATAACAAAGTCTCTGAGGTCAGATGATATTAGCATTTTTAAAAAAGTAAAAAAGTATTATTCTCCTTTTAAATAAAAATTGGCTTATAAGCCCGTAACAAAGTTCTATTGAATTTCCATAAGAAAACAAATTTTCTGGACCCTCCCTGGTAACGCAGTGGGTTAAAGCACAGCACTGAAAGCTGGCCGCAGCCACCTCAGTGTGAGTTCAATTCTTACCAGGGAGCTGACCCACATGGAGCGGCAGACCTCTCCTGACCCGTCCACTGCTCCCCTCAGCAGTGTACTTCACCATTCTGACTGTTCTACTCCCCACTCTGTCTCTGGTGAATCTTCTCAGCACCCCTGCACCTCTGGCCTATACCCCAGTTCTGTATGTATAAATAACTAAATAAACCTAATTCTAGGTTTATCAAAATAAACAAAAAAAGAAATTCTCAGAGAGGGCAGAATTAGTCCCAAATGTGGTAGCATTTATGTAAAAATATACATGTATGTAAAAATGAGAGCGAATTTCCCAGGACTGTTCATCTGTAAGGATAAACACTAGCACAGAGTAACTGCATCATGCAATTTCAGAGTTATAAGAAACTCTTTATGTCTTCTACTCCATTTGCCTATTTTACATATAGGTAAACTGAGACACACACAGTCAGATAAGCAGATAGCCAAGATCTCATGACTTCTCAGTTACCAAAATAAAAATGATTAAATGTTTGCTTTCTTTGTTATCTAATTCCAGGGGGTGAAGTAAGAGGCAGGGGTCCATGCCATAGAACTAATTCGACTAAACAAAGTAATGTCCTAGATTCTGACCCTCACTGGACCCTGACCCCAGGAGTTAGAGGTCAAGAGGGGCAAAATAATAGATTTATCAAATGGAAAGACAATTTCCCATTTGAACCATGAAATTAGTTACACAGTACAGGTGGACAACCAAAGCTTCACGGCTATATGGTGTCACCTGTCCATTCCTGCGTGTCTAACAAATGTCAACTACTTGACTATTTTTTCTCACTTAATTACTGTACCAATTCCAGAAAAGTGAGGGTTTCCTCATTTTACAGACACAAGCAGGCCTTGGCAAGACAGCCCTTTCAGAATGGCTACCAAATAATAACACTGGCTCCATAATGGATACCCACAGGATCCTCATGTCACTAAAGCTTGATGTTTTAAAATTTGATATCTGAAGAATGAGGAATTCAAAGAAATACAGAAGCAATAATCCTAATGCTTCTCGACAGTAAAAACCTGCCTTTTAGCCACATTCAAGAACAAAATACTGTCTTTAACTCAAAGATATGACAAAGTACAAACTCCCAAAGATCTTGTCAGTCTGTGTTATCAAATGTCCAGTTCCAATAGCAGTGGAAAAACACTGAACTTTCTAATGGATCCAAGTGTTTCTAAGCCCACTGCATAGAGAAAATGGTCTCAAGTGCTTTGCCACATTTTATCATGTGTAAGTTCAAGGGAATGACAGCTTTCCTGTAGATAAGGGAGTTAGTCTTCTAAGCGGTCAGTCTATGCCAGAGGAGGAGACAGAGACTCAAAAATGTTAAATGATTTGCTCAAAGCTACATAATCTAGGCCTTCCCTGGTGGCGCAGTGGGTTAAAGC